ACACAGAGGAAAGATGACTGCAGATCAAGGGTGGGGGAGACATGAATTGGACCCGGGGAAACATCGGGGGAAAAGAAACATCTTTGGGAGAAAAAGGAGCACCCAGGAAGGAAGGTACACCCAGGTGAGAGAGGGAAGGACACCCAGGAGAGAGAGGGCACCCAGGGGAGAAAGAGGAAGGCACAACCAGTGGAGGGGTGGGAACACTGATTGGAGAGATGTGCAGCCTGCGAACTCAGTAAGAGATAGAGACAGAAAGAGGAAAGGCAGCAGCAAAGAGCAAGAGGTAGTGATCAGAGTGGAAAGAGGGAGAGACAGAGGCAGGAAGCAAAGGGGCCGAGGGAGGGAGAGAGAGGGATTGAGGCAGAGAACAATTGAGGGAGAGAAAAATTGAGGGTGGGAAGGAGAGAGCAAGATTGGGGAGGGAGCGAGGTTGGGGGGTAGAGTATGAGGGAGGGAAGGAGGCAGCAAGACTGAAGGAATGAGGTCGAGAGAGATTGGAGGAGAGTGTTTGTGAGAGAGATTGAGGGAGAGATTAAGGGAAAGGGAGAGAGAGAGAGAGGGATTTAAAGGAAGGAAGGATTGGGAGGGGGGAGAGAGGGAGAGGAAGCTGATGGCCAGGCTCTGGGAGAGTGAGTGAGAGGCAGGAGGAGGGAGTCCAGGGGAATCTAGTTGTAACCAGAGAGAGGGGAGGGGGCTGAGAATGAAGGAGTTGCAGCAGGGGCTGGGAGCTGGAGGCTGAGCGTTCAGCAGGAGACAGAGACACAGAGACAGAGACAGAGAGAGCACTTTAATTCCAGGAGAATGAGCCAGAGCGGGACTCTGCATTTGGATGGTCACCAGGAGGAATATTAACCTGACTCTCTCCCCACTTTCCTCCTCCCCAGCTTCCCCTTCCTCACTGTGTCCCTGCTCTGCCTCCCACAAGCTGCGGCTCTCCCCGTTTTCCCTGTTGTTGTGTGAAAAGTTTGCGAAGTGGAGACGGGAGCGAGTGCCGAGCCCCCGAGCCCGGCTCAGCCCCACAGCAGCTGCCCCCGGGCGGCGGAGAGTGAGAGCCGCGGCCGCTTCCCCGGCGTTGGGCGGCGGCTCCGCAGGATGGCTCGGCTCGCTGGCGAACTGCTACTGCTACTCGGGCTTCTCATCCTCACCATCCACATCACAGTGCTCAGGAGCATTCCCCTCGCTCAACAGGCTGAGAACAGCACCGCACAGGTAACTCCTCTCACACACACATACACACACTGGGACAGGGAGAGAAAACTGGACAAGCGTGTGCGAGAAATAACTAGGGACACAGAGAGAGAGATAACCACAGACTGTGTGTGACAAATAATTAGAGAGACAGAGACAACTAGACAGTGTGGGAGAAATAACTAGGGACACACATAGCGAGAAAAAGAGAGAGATAACCAGAGACTGTGTGTGAGAAATAACTGGAGAGACAAGAGACAACGGGACTGTGTGGGAGAAATAACTAGGGACACAGAGAGAGATAACCAGAGACTGTGTGTGAGAAATAACTGGAGAGACAGAGACAACTAGGCAGTGTGGGAGAAATAACAAGGGACACGGAGAGAGATAACCAGAGACTGTGTGTGAGAAATAACTGGAGAGACAAGAGACAACTAGACAGTGTGCGAGAAATAACTTGGTGGGGGGGAGGAGAGAGAGAGAGAGATAACCAGAGACTGTGTGAGAGAAATAACTGGAGAG